AATGAGCGGGGTGCCGTTCATGCGGCTTACGCGATAGACCGAGTTCGCATCTCTTACCACAACTACCACTAGCGAAACTACTACAAGTAACGGAGGGTTCCAAGTACTAGCTTTTTCATCGGGTGAGTCTGTCTGATTAGTTACTAGTTATTAGTTTAATGTTTCAGATTGCTTCTGTCTAGCTTATTGATTAAATCAAGTGTAGTAAATGACTCACAAAATTAATCTAGACGAACGATGGTTTCCAAAGCGTGGATGGGACTAGATCAAGGGTAATCTTAATAATTATGGTTAAGTGGTTCTATGCAGTACGCGCACTTTTTAGTTTCAAACCTCACCCACCCATCATGACCACACACAGCAGTCATGGGTCGTCGCGGGCTTTCGGGGCTTCAGCGCGAGGTGATTGCGCTCTACCGCCAGCTGTTGAGGATGGTGCGGACCAAGCCCGAGGAGACACGTGACCACTGGCGCCACTTTATCCGCACTGAGTTCGTCAAGCACCGGGGGATCCCCAAAAAGCTGTTCCTGGTGATCGAGCACTTGATCCGCACCGGCCACCGCCGCTACGACATGTACCTGTCGCCCCAGATCAAGGATATCCACAGCTAAAACCCCACTTGAAACCCTACTTGAAACATGAGGTGAAACTTATTACCTGAATTTGTACATAGAATACACGAGCGCTACCCGCCAAAGTAGTTTTCGCCCACCCGCCCCCGGCGAAGCCGCTCACGGCGCAAGAACTCCTGGAACGGGTCGGGGACGCCGTCGCCGCTGATCTGGCGCACCAACCGGCACCCTTCGTAGGTCATGAGGTCGAGGCACGTCGCCCACGGCAACAGCTTATACATGCCCAGGTCGGTGAGGTCGAGGACGAGGGGCTGGCGGTACGCCCGGATCTCGCGGCGCGCCCTCTCGGTGTCGTCGGCGTCGTCGTCGTCCAAGTCGGGCTCGCGCCAGCGGGCGCCCAACTCAAACCACTCGTCGACCTCGTCCACGGCAACGCTGGCGACAAACTGGCGCAAGAACTCCAGCACCAACTGCTTGTTGAGCCACACCATCAGACTGAGGTTGACGTAGTGGATGCGGTGGGAGCGGCGCCCGTAGGTGGCGAGGGTCTCCAACACTGCCAGTTCGGGCACCGGCACCAAGTTGTCGCGGTTGATCGCTTTCACCGACAAGTCGGAAAGGAACACGCGCCCGTTGCCGCGCTTACAGTACATGGCGTCGGCGGGCGCCGGCGTCGGCGTGAGGAGCGACATGTAGCGCGGGCGCAACTGGGTGCGGATCAGCAGCGCACACAGCATGAGGTCGTCGGGCGCCGCCAGCGGGATCTCGGCCAGCCCGTTGAGCATCTCAAGGTGGCCGCTGACGTACTTGTGGCAGTTGTTCATCGTGTCGAACGTCTGGTACTTGAGCGCGGCGCGCTGGGGCGCCACCTCGTAGTCGGGGGAGATGCTGAGCCCGGCCAAGTTCACCAGTACCAAGTTGGGACATAAGTTGAGGAGGTGGATGATGTAGCCGGCGGGGATGTCCTTGGAGGTGGCGTAGTCGACCAAGTACTTGTTGATTCGCGGGTGGCGCCGCGCCGGGCGCGGCTGGCGCAAGTCCAACACCACCGGCGCCGGGCGCCGCCGCGGCGCCGCCGTCGTGGTGGCGGCCGCCGCTGGGGTATCAGGGGCCAGCAGCATCAGCAGCAAGATGGGGATCGGCGGCGCCAGCCGGCTGCGCTTGCGCCGCTTAAAGAAGCGGAACGACCGCAGCGTCGCCAGACTGGTGGTGACGGTGGTGTCGTTGCTCACCGTCTTCGTGAGCAGGGTCAGCGCCGCCGCCGCCGGCGCCGCCAGCGCCAGCGGCACCGGGGGGCGCGAGTAGAGCGGGTTGTTGGCAAACTTCCAGTCGCGCCACCCGGCGCGCGCCCCCGCCAGCGCCTCGAGAAACAGTAATCCTTCCGCCTGCGAGAGGATGGTGTCGAGTTCTTCCGGGTCGATGCCGGGGGCGATGCCGGCGAGGTCGATGCGCTCGACAAACTCGCCCACCCGGGGATTTACCCGGAGATAGGTGATGAACTGGGCGAAGCGGTAGGTCAGCGTAAACGCCAAATCCTGGTAGAAGTAGGGCTTGGCCACCGCGTACAACTGCTTGCAGCAGTCCATACAACTGCGCCACAGCTGGGGGTCATCGACGAGGTACACGATGTATTCGGTCAATTCCGAGGGCAACTCCAAAAAGTTGGTCGGCCCGCCGCCAGCGCCATTCCGACCACCACCCGTAGCCAAATTCGTCGTCAGCAGATTGGTGGTGGTGGTGGGGGTCGGCCGGCGCCCGATGCGGCTCAAGCTGCGCCCGACATCACTAAGCAACAGCCGGTACTTCATCAACCCCAGCTGGGGCTTGGCGGGGTACTTAAGCGTCAGAAACAGCAAGGTGTGGTTCCCCGTGTGTTCCAACGCCTGAGACAACGCCATGATGTCGGTAGGGCTGAGCTGGACGAAGCGGTGGGTCAGGTAGTCGTACTGGACGTTCGGGTTGAGCAACAGCCGGTACGGCGGGAGGTGCCGTCGGTAGACGTCGAGGGAGCCCTCGGTAGACATCATTTCCGTGGGTAGGGCTGGGTGTGCGCTTAGAATGTGGGTGGTGTAAGCTGTTTCAACGTGGGTTTGGGAGGCTGTTTCAACGTGGGTTTCAGTGTTGGTTTCACCGTAGGATTCAACGTGGGTGTCAGCGTGGGTTTGGGTGTATGCTTCAGCGTAGGTTTCGGAGTATGTTTGAGGTGGGGGGGAAAGGGCTGGTTATATTTTATGGTTTTTGAGGCGGTGCCGTCATTTTTGCTGCTGAGGGAGATAGCGGGCTGCGCTGCTATGATGGGATTGTGCGTCGGGATTTTATTCCTGCAGACAAGAATAGGGGGGAAAGGGCGGCTTGAATTAGTGTGAG